AATTTCACATCTTATTTCATTCGTTCATTTTTATTTATTTATTTTTTTATTTTTTTATTTGCATTTAAATTTTTAGGGTGTCACAGTCCGCCTCCGTCATCGCATAGACCTTAGCCTGGGTCTTCCCTTGGTTTACGGATGGCGCGTTGCTCGTACTTGGTCCGCCTCGCCCCATGCTCTCATGAGGTGATCCCGTTCGGTTCCTACTTGCCGTAGTGCCGCTACTTGGTATAACCATTTGACTCTACACCTCTATTGCTATATCCTTTATAATTTTCAGGCTGGTCAGGGAGCATATACTACTAAATTAAAAAGTAAGGTGCAAAGTTCAATGTAGTCCAAAAATGGAGTGCAAAATCAATTTCTCCTTATTTGTTAACCTTCAAATATTATAAAAATAATGTCTATTAATGGTTAAATCTGTATTTTTTCTTATTTGTAAAAAAACGTGTATAATAATTACCCAACAACATATCATATTACTCCATAATATATAGGTATAAATATCAATTTCATAGATTTTTGTTCGTTTTTTTATAAAATGATATCACATATTTGCATATTGACTAACAATTAAGAATATATTTTTGCCAAGAACATGGATGCAAAAATCAGTTTTACTTCTACCATAATATTCTCAAACAAATGTTAAGAGCCTCCGCAATACAATTAACATTTACCTCCCTCTTATGAATTTGATTCACATGCATTATTTATAAGTAACATAGTTTACTAACCCACACCAACAAAAAATTATAGCATATCTATGTTATTCTCGATGTTTTTTTAACAAGGATTCAATCACATTCGTTACATAGTCGTCTGATTTTTTATTAAACCTCTTCAAAGGCACCGGTAGAGAAAAGGTACAAAAATAAGTAAACATTTCCGGAGGGCCATATGTATAATGAATATAATGCATGATGATCTGAATTATCATTTGGTGGGTAGTTTACTACCAATGGATTCCAACAAACCAAAGTTCTCACAACTCTATATTTACATCTCAAAGCAAATTAAGTAAACTCCATGCATTAGAAGTAGTTTATAATTTTGTGGACCGGAGGAGAAGGATGCATGCAATACAATAGCATATTTTCTGTACAAGAAACTTAAATTTAGTTGGAAATAATGTCAAAAAGACTCTTCTACTATTTGCAATTCATCTCTTAAACTTTTCTATTAAAAAGCATCTTATAGGCACGCTTACTTTTTAACTACAATGAATCAAGTCATTTTGACTTGCTATAGTAGGTTATTTTAAAAAAAATATAACTATTGATAAATCTTATAAAAATTCATATAATTTTGAAAAAATAATATAATAATATAAAAATATCATAAATGTAGAAATACATAAATACTTTAAAAACGTTAAAATAAAAAAATATAAATAAGAAAACTAAAAAAATAAAGTGAAAATGTAAATAATATAAAATATTAAATGTGAAAACCTTTTAAATAGATGTAAAATAAGAAAATAATTTCAATAGTTAGAAAATATCTACTTTGATATTCTATAAATTTTTACAATTTTTATCTATATATTTTCAAATTCTTCGGAGTAACATTTTTATAGTTTTTAATATAAAAAATGCTATTTGCCTATTACAGGTCATACCGAACAAATGGCCAAATTGACCAAGTTTTGAAAGTAAACGTGCTTCCATGATACTTTTTTTAGTAGAAAAAATTCCACTTTTGGTCTCATGACTATTATACCACTTTCACATTTAGTCCCTTACTTTCAGATTGTCCACATTTAGTCCGTGACCATTATCCCCCTCACCACCCCTCGTCCTTCTGGCCAAAATTCCGACAAATTTAGTCCACTTATCAGTCTCAGAGTCAATCTTTGCATTAAATTTTATATAAGGTTTTGTTTTTCATATCAGTCTTTGCATTAAATTTGGTTTTTCATACCTAGATCTGCATTACATTTGTTGGAATTTTGGCCGGAAGGATGAGGAGTGATGAGAGGATAATGGTCACGGACTAAATGTGAACAATGTGAAAGTAAGGGACTAAATGTGGAAGTGGTATAATAGTCACGAGACCAAAAGTGGAATTTTTTCTTTTTAGTACAGTGATTTAAGTGATGTTTAGGAAATATTACAAAGGCTTATTAGACCAATTTTCCAATTAAGTTTAGTGCTTATGAATGCTCTGTAATATTTAACACATTCATATATTTGCATTTACTTTCAAAATCACCATAAATAATATACACATTAATGCTTTTGAACTAGTCATGCTCATATATTAACAAAATATAAGCACACGTATTCTTCTTTACTAACATTATATACTATCGTATTTTACATGATGGTGTGAATACTACTCCGTATTAACCAATAGATGTTAATAATTTTAGTACTTGTCAAAATGACACTAACCGGGCATGCCCCATATGTTACTCTTTATTTTATTAATAAAATATATTTTAATTTTCTTTTTCATAATTCAGCAAAATCACTCAATCCAATCATTTTAACCAAATCTTCATAAATTTTAACGAAACTCGTCTTAATTTTAGTGTTATCAAAAGACTCTCAATTTTGAGGATTAAATATTCGTGAGAAACACTGCAATTCTATAAAAAATACTCTCTCCGTCCTAAAAAATACTTTCCACTTTCCTTTTTGGCTGTTCCAAAAAATTCTTCTCACTTTCATTTTTTGGAGAATTTGTGTGGCTCACATTCATTTTACTTTTTTCTTACACAACTACAACCACACATTTCCACTTTATTTCACTTTTTTAATAAGCGTGCCAAGTCAAACCGGGAAATATTTTTTGGGACGGAGGTAGTACAATTTTCTTTCTCTCTCTTTATTGATCCAAAAAAGGGCGAAATCTCCCACCCCGGAGCCCCCACACCCCGACCCGACAAGGCACGTGGGAGGATGTAAATCACGGTGACTCGGTTAACGAAGTGGCAGTAGGCTCATATATCCGTGCATGCCATAGGTCCAACCAATTTTAGAGGCTTTAACCTTCACACAGTCGCTGCGAGATTCGAACCTTGGCTCTTGATCCAAATTTCCCACCACTCAACCAACTGAGCTACGCGTGCAAGTTTTTCTCTTTATTATAAACGCTGTCAGATGCAAATTTGATACTCCCTCCGTCCCTGAAAATACTTCCAACTTTCCCTTTTCATCCGTCCCAAAAAGAACTTCCCTTTCCTTTTTTGGCAAAGAATTTGTGGTTCACAACATTTCTCTCTCCTCTGCACAACTCTCCACCACACAATTCCCACTTTCTTAATTCGCGTGCCACTTTATTTTGGAAGTAAATTATGGGACGGAAGTACTACATATGTTACTAAAAACTAAATAGAATAAGCTGAGGATGGCTAAAATATAATCCAACCAAACCCAGTTGGCAGTGTTATCATGAAACATCCATCCAGCTTTGCTGTTGCTGTCATTTCCTTCACTCCCTTCTTAGCTTTCCAGTTTCGTAGGCCCTTCAATTTCCGTCGCATGTGCCCTTCCCTTTTCCGAAAATATTTAGCTTTTGGACCTTACACCCTCACCAAAATTCAAATTGCGCATCACATATTTTCCAATTGTGTGTTAAATACTATTGCAAGTTGAAACCAAACTCCAAAGTAATGATGTGAACTTAAGATGCAAAAATTAATTTATCACATTCTTAATTTAAATAAATCGATGATATTATGAATTTATGTATTATCGATTGTATTGTCTGATTCTGTTGAAATTTATGATGTTCTGGTTGAAATGATTGAATTGGTCGATTCTGTTGATTTATGAAAAATTTATAGTTAAAATATATTTTATTAATAAAATAAAGAAACAATTATATGAAAAACAACTAAAATGATCTTTTACAGTAACCTTAATTAGTACAGTTATAAAAGTAACTATAACTTTACTTCATTCGAGTATTACATAATTCAGCACGTGAAATTAAAAATTACGTAATTAGTGAAAATGTTGTCTGATCAACCTGATAAGTTGAAAAAAAGGGTGACCAAGCGACTCAACATTTACACTGTTTTGAAATGTTTCGATTACTTAAGCCCTGCTATTAAGTGAAGGCTACTAAATCAATTTACTTGTCATCAGGTTTTAGGAGTTTTTTACTTGCACTGTAATTTGCTGGTCTGATCTGGTCTGGTCTGGTCTGGTCTGTTTTGGCTTGGTCTGGTCTGGTTTGGTCTGAATTTTTTTTTTATATTTTTTGCATAAAGATTTTATTATATATATATATATATTATAATCCATAAACAATTATATTTTATTCATTTATAATTAAAAATAATAATATTCCTTCCAAATTATCGAAAATTGTTATCATTTTAATTGGATTGATTTCAATCCCAGACCGAAGCAAATCATACAAATACAGAACAATAATAAAATAGTACAAGTATTAATAATAATAACAACAATAACACTACTACTACTACTACTAATAATAATAATAGTAGTAGTAGTAATAATAATAATAGTAATAATAGTAATAGTAGTAGTAATAATAAAAATAATAATAATAACAATAATAATAACAAATACAATAATAACAATAACAATAACAATAATAACAATAACAATAATAATGACAATAACAACAACAACAATAATAAAATATGATCTGGTCTGGTCTAATCTGTTTTAGTCTGGTCAGGTTTGTTTTGGTTTGGTCTGGTCTGGGACGAATTACAGTCCAAGTAAAAACAACATTAATAAAGATATAGTAGTATGAATAGAGATAAATCTTGTATCTTCATATTCCAGACAGCTCATTTAATACGATTTAGTTTCTAAGTGTTGAATGTTATTACAATTAAAAATTTGAATAATTTTATCATTAACATTGTTGATCATTTAGATAACAAGTTTAATTTAATAAAAGTCTTTCTTAAAAAAAGAGGAATGGCTTATTGGCTTTCTTAACGGTTCTTAACTAACGATCACATAAAATGTGTGGTTAAAAATGTAATATTTCAAAAATGAAGAATACTACATTTAATATTGATGCGGACATGGTCCGAAAACTAATTTTCCATTTCCTGGTGTGTATCCTTCCAAACCCCAACCGCCTTTTCCTTTTTGAGTTCTTGCATGTTGCAACATCCACCAGCATTAAAGAAAGCCCTAAAACAGCCTTGAAAATCAATTTTCATTCTTTTTAAACTTCACTCATCTTTCTTCTCTGGAAAAGGCAACTGGTTTTCTTCTTCTCAGACATCCGTCACCCCTTTCGAACAAGATGGGTGTTCACCCTGGGCTAAAGCTTCCACCAGCTTTATCCTTTCTGGGGATTTTTTCTTTACTTTTTCTACATGCAGTGTCTCAAGGCGGTAGTGATGATGACGCTTCTGTCATGCTGGCTCTCAAAAAGAGCCTCAACCCACCACAAGAAATGAGCTGGTCCGACCCGGATCCCTGCAAGTGGAACCACGTGGGTTGCTCTGGCGAGAAGCGGGTCACCCGTATCCAAATCGGGCACCAGAACCTCCAAGGTACTCTCCCGCCGGAGCTCTCCAAGCTCACCCAGCTTGACCGCCTAGAGGTCCAGTGGAACAACATTTCCGGGCCGCTGCCCAGCTTGAACGGGTTGAGCTCGTTGCGAGTGCTAATGCTGAGTAACAATCACTTCACTTCAATTTCTGATGATTTCTTTTCTGGCCTCTCGTCCCTGCAATCTGTTGAGATTGATAACAACCCTTTTGCTACGTGGCAGCTTCCTGAGAGCCTTAAAAACGCTTCTACCCTGCAAAATTTCTCGGCGAATTCCGCGAATTTAGCTGGCAAAATTCCAGGTTTTTTTGACCCGGATGGGTTTCCCGGGCTGACAAACTTGCATTTGGCTCTTAATAACCTAGAAGGTGAATTGCCTTCGGGCTTCTCAGGAATGTCTATTCAGTCTTTGTGGTTAAATGGGCAGAAGCTTAACGGGTCAATTGACGTATTACAGAACATGACATTTTTGAAAGAGGTATGGTTGCATTCCAATGAATTTTCAGGCCCTTTGCCTGATTTTTCCGGTTTGAAGGATTTGCAAGTTTTGAGCCTTAGAGACAATTCCTTTACAGGTCCTGTTCCGTCATCCTTGTTGAACCTTGAGTCCTTGAAGGCTGTTAATTTAACTAATAATTTACTTCAAGGCCCCACTCCCAAGTTCAAAGACTCTGTTTCGGTTGACTTAGCTAAAAATACTAATAGCTTTTGTTTGCCACAGCCTGATGATTGTGACTCTAGAGTAAATACATTAGTTTTGATAGCTAAAGCCGTTGATTTTCCAAGAAAATTTGCTGAGAATTGGAAAGGAAATGACCCCTGCGCGGATTGGTTTGGGATAACTTGTGAGAATGGGAATATCACTATTGTTAACTTTCAGAATATGGGACTTAGCGGTACAATTTCCCCAGAATTTGCTTCGCTTAACTCACTGCAAAGGCTAATCCTTGCTGACAATAATTTTACTGGTATAATTCCTTCAGAGCTCACTCGTATTGCCACCCTTACTGACTTGGATCTATCAAACAACCACCTCTATGGGAAAGTTCCATCTTTTAAGAATAATGTGATCGTTAAGACTAATGGAAACCCTGACATTGGTAAGGCCCAGAGCGACTCACATTCCCCTGGCTCAAATTCCCCGAATCCCTCAAATTCTAGTTCTGATTATGTGGGACATCCCCAAACATATCGCAAGAAATCAAAGAATTGGGTTGTGATTTTGGTTTCTGTAGTAGGCAGTGTCATTGTTCTTGGTTTGTTGGGGATGTTGGTTTTCTGTATGTGCAAAAATGAGCAAACTCGTTCTAGCAGAGTGCAAAGTCCTCCTGTTCCCATGGTCATTCATCCTCGCGGTTCTGGAGTTTCTGATAGTGTGAAGATTACAGTTGAAGGATCAAGTGCTAGTGTTGGCCCTGTTAATGAGATGCATACGGTTTCTGATAACCAAACCACCGAGTTTCAAATGGGGGGTGAAGCTAGGAACTTAGTCATATCGATTCAGGTCCTAAAGAGTGTCACAAACAACTTTAGTGAAGATAGCATATTAGGCCGAGGGGGTTTCGGGACGGTCTATAAGGGAGAGCTACACGACGGGACAAAGATTGCTGTGAAAAGAATGGAGTGTGGGGTTATTGCCGGTAAGGGGCTGGCAGAGTTCAAATCGGAGATTTCTGTCTTGACAAAGGTTAGGCATCGCCACTTGGTTGCCCTACTAGGGTACTGCCTTGAAGAGAACGAGAAGCTTCTTGTCTATGAGTACATGCCTCAAGGGACTTTAAGCAGACACCTTTTCAATTGGGAGGAGGAGGAAGGGCTTAAGCCGCTGGACTGGACGAAAAGGTTGACAATCGCGTTAGATGTTGCTAGGGGGGTGGAGTATCTGCATACATTAGCACACCAGAGTTTCATTCACAGGGATCTGAAGCCGTCTAACATTCTGCTTGGGGATGATATGAGGGCTAAGGTGTCAGATTTTGGTCTTGTAAGGCTTGCTCCAGAAGGGAAAGACTCCATCCAGACCAAGATTGCCGGAACTTTTGGATATCTGGCCCCAGAGTATGCAGGTATTTGTCTTTCTCTCATTATCATTAGGCAAATTCTTAGGTACTTTTTTTTCCTACATTGTCCACGTAGATCAATTATAATATCACAATTGAGTACAAGTGATGAAATAATGTTGTAGGTATAGTACCCTCACTTCATTAGTGGAGTATGGTATCATTCACCCATTATTATTAGGGAAAAGTACGGAAAAGGTAATGTGGTTAGGCCCATTTTCAGATAGGATCATGTATTTAATTCTTTATCAAAGTAGTTCATGCGTTTGAATTCCTTTATCACAAGAGGGTCACGCCGTTAAAAACGTCTGAAAAAGACCGTTACAAGTAACTGCGATTTTCAAAAGTGCCCGAAAATTAAAAGAAAAATATTGAAAGGTGCGCCTCGTCAAGATGACCTCTAAACCACCTTCGCATTTGGATTTTTCAGATCTGTTTGAATTATTTTTTAAAAATGATTTCGCTAATATCACTTTTCCGATGGACTTTCCGGTGACAAGGGTGGCTTAAAGCAAAAAGAAAGATGGCCTAGCGGTCGTCTTATTGAGGCGCACCTTCCGGTATTTTTCTTTTAATTTTTCGGGCACTTTTAAAAATCGGAGTTACTTTGAACGGTCTTTTTCAGACGTTTTTAACGGTGTGACCCTCTTGTGATAACCCGGGTTATCTACTCGGCGAGTACTCGCAACTCGGGCCCTTACCTAGTCGATTAGCAACTTAACTCAGTCTGAGTTAATTTTCCGAGTTACTCGGTGAGTACTCGTCGAGTTTTGCAACTTGGTCAACATCTCAAATCGGCGAGTACTCGGTATTACTCGGTCTTTTTATAATTGAAGCACTACGGTTAGAAATCTTAAATTAAAACATAAATTTAACGGAGTTCCAAGCCTCTGACTGCAACATCGGCCTCTCTTGGAGCCGACGACATTTGCTATCCCTTCAAGCTGTAAATGCTGTAAATGCGACATCGGCTGTCCCTTAGAGGCTTGGAGCTTCGACCGCGACATCGTTTGTAACTCTTCTTTCTCTAGTATCTTCCCCTCATCACCTCTCGTTTCTCCTTCTTCTTCTTCCCCTCTCCCTTAGTCGTGTATGTTCTTGCCTTCTTGGATAGTTTTAGTTCTTGTATTCCGTAAGCTTTCATTCTTGGATAAGTAGTCTAGTAGACATCCTGCTTTATAGTATTCAATGCATGACTTCTTGGACTAAACTGATAAATACTTTTGAATAATATAAGTAGTCTAGTGGACATCTTGCTTTATATTGGATTATTGCCCTCCTACTCCCTATAAATTCAATTTCAACAATAGACATTAAATTTTGATGACTTATAAAATTTAAATCCAGCAGAATAAAATTTAAATTTTGAAAACTTAGAATGTTTATGACTTTTGCTACTCCATTAGGATAATAGGATTTCTATATTTTTATTCGTTTCTACGCTTTTTAAAACAATTTTAAGACTATTTTAAGACTAGTATATTTCTATAATATCTGGCAACTATATTATTAAATTTAATTAATACAAGGCCGAGTAATCACCGAGTAATCCCGAGTAATCGGTCCTACTCACTACTCGGCCCTTGACCGAGTTACTATCGAGTAGCGAGTTAACTACCTAGGTGATAACAGAATTCAAACACATGAACCACTTTGATAAAGAATGAAACACATGACCCTATCTGAAAACGGACTCAGCCACAAGTACCTTTTCCGTACTTTTCCCTTATTATTATGCTCCATTAACCTCTCCTAAAATACTAAAAATCATAGTTGAGACTCTAGCTAGGGACTTTATAAGAATTTAATTACAGCATATATCAGGGAAGGCCCACAGTTTACATTGTTTATTAAGAGGGGTGGTCTTTTATCTATTTTTTTGGGATAGCAATTTTTATAAATTAAAATTATATGTTATTTATGTTTATATATACTACCTCCGATCTCTATTAAGTGAAAGTGTAATACAGAGGGTGTAGGGAAATGAAAAAGTAGGAAAGTGGAGTATGTAAAAACTTGAACAAATAGATTACGGTCTAAAGTTTCTTGTGATATGGATATACTAACTTCAAAGGATAGATCACAGTTCATTATGATGTTGAGGTCTAATTTTCTTACTATGATATATTTTCCAGTGACAGGAAGAGTGACAACAAAGGTTGATGTATATAGTTTTGGAGTGATCTTGATGGAGCTGATCACAGGCAGGAAGGCTCTGGACGAGAGACAACCCGAGGAGAGCATGCACCTTGTAACGTGGTTCCGGAGAATGCATCTAACAGAGGCCACCTTCCGGAAGACGATAGACCCCAACATTGATTTCGATGAGGAAACACTTGCAAGCATACACACGGTTGCTGAACTCGCTAGCCACTGCTGTGCGAGGGAGCCATACCAAAGGCCTGACATGGGTCACGCCGTTAACGTCCTTTCATCATTGGTAGAGTTTTGGAAGCCATCAGAGGAGAGCTCGGAGGATGTGTATGGCATTGACTTCGATATGTCTTTGCCTCAAGCTCTTAAGAAGTGGCAAGCATATGAAGAAGGTAGTATGAGCCACATGGATTCCTCTACAGCATCTTCTTATATTCCAAGTTTTGATAACACCCAAACGAGCATACCCGTCCGCCCTTTTGGGTTCGCAGAATCACTCACCTCAACCGATGGCAGGTGACCTACGTTTTGGTTGTTCATCCTCTTTCTTAGGCATCTTCTATCTTCCCTCACCTGTGTTTTTTCATAGAGACTGGTCGAATTCAAATTCTATGTGCAGTGGTTGAGAATCTGGATATTGCATTGTGTAGGCGATAGTTGATATTGTTTGTGGTGAGTGGTCCTCCTTGACTTGACAACAAACATTATGAATGAATTTAGTAAAATGATTGGACTGGAACATCATCACTTGCATAACTGGCAGGAAGTATTGGTTAGGCTTAATTGTTGATTTGCACATGAAAGTATCAAACCTTGCTGTGAATATAATACTCATAAGCAGCCTTGAATGTTTTTTCGTATACAATTTCCCGGCTCAAGGTAAAAAGATTGACACGACTAATTTGAAGAGTGACTACTTTCTCATCATATTTGCAATGCATAGAGTCACATGGAGATTCGATCTCTTTAGGCATCGGCCCAAATTGTGTCAACAAGGTTTGCTATTTGTACGCCCTCTTATATCCACCCACCGTCTGTGAAAGGCTTTTTCGTCTGCACACAAACATGACTTGCTCGTTCACAGACCAAAAAAGCCTTTTCAAGGTGAATAATTGAATATAAGAGCGTGTTTAACATAATTTTTCTTGTGCCAAACCTCCAAGTTCCAACGTTCAACAGCTCTCATACCTTTCCTTTCAAGCCTAGCCTTCTACTAATGGTAACAAGAAAAAACAAAAACTAGAAGCTATAGAAGTATAGAACCCTTTTAAAAATCGGTTTAAGAAGCGAGACCCAACAAGTGATCGGGTCATGAATCGACCCGAATCTTGACTTGTCAACCCATCAACATTGGGGCAATCTGATTAACATTAATAAAATTTACAATAATATTTTTTTAGTTGGTACTCCAATTTTATTAGATTATGAATACTTAAATAAATATAATCCTTACTAGAAAAGTTTACAACAATAATATTGACGTGCTAATCACTTCACAAAAATGAACTAGAGGCTAACAATATTAACGTTTCCGTTATTTTTTTCATGTTCGATTAACCATACCATATACAATTGTGAATTTAAATCTACTTTGAATTTAATGTAATATTCAATATACTACGTACAATACAACGTAGCACAAATACATGAAGAAATACAAATCACATTCTCTTCTACTCTTATTATTTATCGATATTTTTGTTATATTCAATCTTATTTTTCTGTAGAACTAACATTTCAAAGTAGTTTAGTAATACTGTATTCAATCACATTTTTTCTGTAGAACAAACATTTCTTATGATAATTAGTGTTTAATTTAGTTAAATATAGTAATTGTATATATATATATTATAATTTGGAATAAATGGGACAGTATTTTATTTTAAAAATCATTTCATGCTTATGTACATTTTCAACCCTTTCTAGATTCAGAAAATACAAAAATTAGATATTCATATTCTAAAAATTATACGCAAATAACTTTCAGTTGTTAACAATTTCACAAAATTGAACCAATATAACGGAAAGTTAACCGTTACCCCGCCAAATTTGAGTTCATTATTATGAAATATTTAACAAGCAGGGTTTATTATCGTATATAAACATTTCCAGTATGGATTACTATCGAAGAATGTATAAAATTATTATTTTCAACTTCAATTTCAATTTCAATTTCAATTTCAATTTCAATTTAGCCTTATGCAAATAAAATTTTCTGAAGAAGATAACGCACTAATTGAAGTACGTACACAAATATGTTAATGAGACATAAATGAAAATAAATCATGAATTCTGAATCATAGACCTTCTAGATCCAGCGATAATAAATAATGGAGCGTGTTTTAGCGCTTTTAATGAATAATGATGTAGTTGTTTGATATTAATTTATTATTATTATTATTATTATTATTATCAATTAATCTATTATTAATAAATATTAATATTAATATAATAATTACAGTGTAATTAATGATATAATATGGAGTATATGCATGAAAGAACCACAATCTCAACGTGGTAAATGAGTTACCTGATTCAATATTTGAGTTAGCCCTCCCTGCCTTTGATCAAGTCGACTTTGAGTTTTTCTTTGAACAATTTGAAGGCTGGACGAGTTCATTTATGCAATTGCTGGACTCCGTCGTTGGGTCAAAACTTCCAAGTCAGAATTTTCAAAAAACAAGCCCAAGTCTTAAAAAATAACATACGTAATCTCATTTTAGGTTCATCCTTCGATAACTCTAAGAAGCCTGAAGGCGTTATATAGCAGGATATTGGATTGGTTAGTATTTATATAGGATGTTTGCAATTTTCTTCCGCTCTATCCGTTTTTAATTCCGTAATTTTACTCGCTTATAAATTTGAGCTGTTTTTACTTGGACTGAAATTTGCAGATCTAGTATGATTTGGTTTGCTTAAGTTTGGTCTGGTATGATCTGAATTGGTCTGGTCTAGTCTAGTCTGGTAAATGTCTGGTTTGGTCTGATCTGAACAGATATGGTCCGGTCTGGTCTGGGCACTACTACATTTTTAGACCTAATGTAACATTACAGATGTAACATATCTATAATAGTGTTACCTATTTCTCTAATGTAACACTTTTTAGACCTAGTGTAACACTTTCTAGAAGTAAAAGTGTTACATCAGGTACTATAAAGTGTTAGAATAGGTCAAATGCAACACTAGCAAATGTAATGGTAAAACAATGTTACATAGAGAAAATGTAACATTTTCTTACCATTACATTTGCTGGTGTTGCATTTGACCTATTGTAACACTTTATAGTACCTGATGTAACACTTATACTTCTAGTAAGTGTTACATTATGTCTAAAAAGTGTTACATTAGAGAAATAGGTAACACTATTATAGATATGTTACATCATTAATGTTACATTAGGTCTAAAAATGTAGTAGTGGGGATTGAAAACAATCCAAGTAAAAACGACCTTGATCCAATAACTAATAAAATTCATGCAATTTAAGGACTTTGCACCAGAAAGGATGTTGGCCGGCATCATACAAATATCTACTATGAAATATACTTTCAAGCGGAAAAATTCTTAAATTTCACAAATTTATTAGTTATAAGATTAAGTTTGCAAACGAGTAAAGTTATATGATTAAAACACACACAATCGAAAGTTAAATGACTAAATTGCAAAATTCTTTGATTGTGGTGTTGTCACATTAGCAGCACCTAAATTGCAAATTTATGGAGACATATGAGAGTCCATATTTAATATTAGTCCTTTTTTATTGACTCTAATTGGAAAACTCTAACATTTTTTTGGAAACATATGAGAGTCCATATCTATAAATTATATAAATCTAACATTTTTTTTTGGAAAAAGGTGACTCATATTGAATAATCAAAACTTAATCAAGTTACAAAAGAGCAAAAAGTCCTCTTCCGATCGTCTGCCCTCGAACCAGACTTAGAGTCAATCTCTTTCGCAAAAGTAATACGGAGTATGACTTATTGATCCTATTGTTAGGTCCCTCTTTTCTACTAAGAAATATATAGAAATAACTTTCATTGGTAGAAGAAGTTTACACAAAGGTATGGAAATTGATGGAGTATATGGGTCTGAGCCCCCGGACCCACATACTCGGAAGAACAGAAAGCACCAGACAACAGAGTGGCGCCCTCGTCGGCCAAGACGCCCCCGTCGGCCGGAAAGGGACCAACTCGGATTATGGTCCTGAGTCCAAGGAACCCGGGTGCCCTCGTCGGCCGCGCCCTCGTCGGCCGTGCCCTCGTCGGCCACGCCCTCGTCGGCCACGAAGACCTCACAGAATCGGATTTTATACTTACTCATTTGTACAGCCCATTAGTGGCTTTGTATTCGGCCCAGTAGCGGTCCAGTTGTAAATGGGCCTCCCAAGCTCAAGGCTTGGGAGCCCAACCCTAATTTTCTCTATAAATACTCCCCTTGGGAGTAGTTATAGGGGTGACCAAATCATTCTATTGAAGCATATTATTGCACTTCTCTCTCTAGCTCTCACTTCTCTCTAGATATACTCTATCATTTGGTGCTCTCGTTGAGAGCTAGAACAATCAAGTTAACACCCTTCGTCGCTACCAAGCACAGCTAACCACTGATCATGGGGAGAACTAAGTCAAACCGCAACCTCGTCAGCAAAGTCATCCCTGAGGACCAAGAGCCCAGGGAGCACGATGAGGACGCCACGGCCGACCAGGCCGGCGGAGGGGATCTCTTCCAGGAGGCCTTCAACCTCACAACGGACCTCCGCAACCAACTCAACGGCGGCGCCCCTGATGCCCGCCTCGGCTTGGACAAGAAGCGAGCTGAAAAGACGGATCACGCCCCGGCCCAGCCTATGGCCGCGGCCTCTCCGTCCGTAGATCCTCAGGTCCAGGCCGCACTATCGGCTATCATCGCCAGCTTGGCTCAGAACCCCACCGTCCTCAGCGCACTCTTGCCAAGGACTGGGGGGAACGTCACTCAACCTCCTCAACCCCAACCGTTGGCCGTCCAGATTGGCAACGACGAGGGGGTGGTGCCCCAGGACACGGCGTCGTCCCACTCCCACCCTGCTTCCCCTCTTCGGCCCGGGCAGACCCCAGCGCGTGGAAAAGCCTCTGCCTTCAATAGGCTAGGTGACACGCGCCGTCGTCCGGTTTCGGAGAGGATGGCGGGACGGATTGGTGATCCTCGTTCTGGCTCGCCAAGGGAAAGCTTGGGGTCTGTGTCCCGGACAGCGGACCAGCCCCGCCCGGATAAGGGCAATGGGAAGTTGCACGAGGATGACGTGCGTCACCAGATCAACGCGGCTCACAACGAGCGCCTAAGGAACCAGCCGGGCACCGCTGCGGCCAACAGGGACCCCCGGGACGAGGTCATCGCCCAGCTGGAAAGGAGGCTGGCTCAGATGGAGGCCAAGCAGTCGGCCAACATCCCTACGGCCGGCGCCTCCAACGACCCCGGCCTCAACGCGCTCATGAACAAAGTTAGTGCCCTGGAGAGGGAGCTGGCCGAAGGGCGGGGTGACCCCATCATCCAGGTCAGGACTAGGACCCCTTTCACCAACAGGGTCCTCTCGGCCCCCATCCCTGAGAAGTACAGGGGGAACGCCATCAAGTCCTACGATGGCCGGTCGGACCCCCAGGAGCACTTCAGCCGTTACCAGAACAACATGCTGATGGTGAACGCGTCCGACGAATACCTCTGCCGTTGGTTCCTCTCTACTCTCGAGGGGCCAGCGTACGAGTGGTTCAACGGGCTCCCAGAAGGAAGCATCGATTCATGGCAGGATCTCGCCCAGCGCTTCCTCACTCACTTTGCCGGGAGGAAGCGC